ATTAGAAGAATGGCATCTACGCTAATATTAGTATGTTTCTTTCTTATTCAGAGGTCACCGTAGCCACTAGATCCAGTCTTTATCCAGATCAGATGGTCACTGCAGTCACACGGATCCAGTACGTATCCAGCCCAGATGGTGGATCATCACCTAGAGAGGACCTCTACAGCCCTGAATTTCAGCGGCGATCAGGACAACTAGATGAGCCCCAGAGACAGAGCCCCATTGAAGACCTTGTCTCCTAGAAGGCCACCGGGACAAGACCACGGAACCAGATGAGTCCTCTGCACAATGTGACTTTGCTACAGCCTGGAATTGAACTGCTGGTTTCGTCTGGCCAGAGGAGAACTGGCCCCCCGACTAAGCCTGGTTTCTCCCAAGGTTTTTACTCCATTCTGTCACCGATGGAGGTTTGGTTCCTTGCCGCTGTCACCTCTGGCTTGCTTAGTTGGGGACACTTAATTTCCAGCGATATCGTCTACTTGATTGCACAGATACTATTTAAACTGAAAAAGCTGGATGATGACATCACTGAATTCAATGATGAACTGCCTTTAACTGAAAATTGAGTGTTTACTATTGTTATTTTGCATTATTGACACACTATTTACTTTGACACAATCTGTATTGTTAAATCACCATATAAATAAAGGTGACTTGATTTGACTTGACTTGACTAGAGGGTGTGCCATTTCCCAGTGACTTTCATGCAAATTACCATCCGTCCCCAAAAGGTGTAAACTCTCCACGTTTAGGACTTGATCAATGCAAATTCCAGTTCCTGTCTCCATTTGAGGGATGTTTTTCTTAGTCTGAGTACTTAAGGAAATGTTGCAAGAAGATCAGGGCACTTCTGTAAGCCAGATGAGCCTGTAGTGTGGAGTGTGTCCATACACTCCAAACTATGTATTTTTCTTAAGTCAGATATGCATCCTTTTACTCTTAGATTTATCTTTAAGAATTTGATGTTTTGTATTGATTTGATTTGATATCTCTGAATTAGCTATGTAATACATAATAATGGAATTATACATTTTTTGTTTCATTTGATTTTAGACAAAATACTATTGGAGTACTAGTAAGCATGGTTCGGGCATACTTCATAGTATAGCCATGATCTCTGGTTATTGTCTCAGCTTTATTCAAGTTGTTATATAGTTAGATAAACTATAGGGGGCTAGATAAAACAGTATAGAAGTATTAGCATATTTCATAGTACTAGCCATAACCTCTGATTATTGTTTGAGCTTTAACTAAGCTGTAACATAGGTGAATGTAGGGGGCTAAACAGAACCACTATTTAAAAAATGACAAGCATGAGGCGGTCTATTAAATAGTAGTCATAACCTCTGACTAATGATCAGAGTGGAGAGTTTGTGATCGTGAGATCTGCGTACACTGGCTGAAGCGAGAACCTCTGAGCGACATAGATTCTTAATGAATGAGTAAAATATAGAGTTAATTACAATAATGAAATGTCAGAAGAATAAGAATTAGAAATGGACAAACAACCAATTTGCATTTCAATCCAAATTCGAGGTCATAATAAAATGGAGTCAGATTAGAATTTAATTTAAATTAAATAACTTTGAGCACCAAAAAGACCGAACGTGCAGGAAACCTTCGGCCGCCGTTGGATACCTTTGTTGGGCCAATTGCGTGGACCTTACAGCACCGAAGTCTATTTTGGACACAGATGTTGATGGGATGGGGATGACCTGCATGGCCCTGGAGAGAACAGTTAATTAGATCTGAACCTGGTGCCTCACAGGGTATTGTTTGTCTATTCTAAAAGGGTGCAGAAGTTTGGTTTAGAAGTTTAATGCCCACAACTGACTGTTCCTCAAAAGAACCACCTATAATTACTAAGCAATGTTAATACTTTAGCACAACACCATAGAGATCCTCTAGGCCAGTGGTCTCCAACATGGTGACAGTGGGCACTAGGTAGCCCACATGTAATCTGTGATTCACCCACCAAGCACGCTCTATAAATAGCCTGAATTAAGGCTGGGCGATAAACGATATATCGAGATCACTTTAAAAATGTATGTGGATAATGATGATAAGCTCTGGACATTTTCGCTCAATATTAATCAAACAGCCAATCACACTGCATGTTTTTCATGTCTCTGTGTAAATGAATGGCACGGTTTCGTCTGTTACACACAAACTCAAACAAACGTTATGCTCACAGTGTTTCAGCATCTGCATCTCAATATACGAGGACATGAACACATGAAATTCATCTCAAGAGCTGCTCTGACAATCACTTCACAAAAACTGCCGTCTAAAACATGCTGAAACTAAAACTGAAAGATCTTCATGACAAACCATCAAAATAAAAGAATTGTTTTCATTTGATTGCATTTTATAAGATTGATTACATTTTGTTTTATTAACTAATTTCATTAAACACAATTTTTATGATAAATTTCTATTGAATCATTAAAACACAGAATCCATAAAATGAAAAACAGAATATCTGGAAAAAATAAAAAGGATTTCATGGGGCCCTAAATTAAAAGGTAGCTTACTCTGTGGAGTTTAATTGTGTGAATAATGCTACATTTATATTAAAGCTATATTTACATTCATTATCAAGGTCTATCACATGGAGAGCATTTTCTTCCCCATTAATGGTCAATTAATATTGTGATATATTACTGATATTGTGTGATATGAGGAAAAAATATATTTTTTTCTGGAATATTTTCCAGGATTGATTCTTGAATAAAATAATAATAAAAAATAAATAAGATAAAATGCTTGTGAGAAATCATTAAAATGTATTAAGTCAGGATAAGCCAGTTCATTATTATTGTAGTAGGTTCCTCCACAGGAGACAACACAAACTGTACATTTTACACTTTTTATGTTATTAGAACAATAATATATTAAAATAAGCAAATATTCACTTAACAATGTCATTTCATTCTTATTGATGGTCTGAGTTTAAAATAAAAACTAATAAAAACCTAGTCATGTAGAAAAAAATCTTCACATGAGAAATCAGTTATCTCTATAACAAAAGACAAAAAAGTCCACTTATACATTTCCTTTAAAGAATGTTCAATACTTGAAAGGGATAATTCACCCAAAAATTTAAATTCTCTCATAATTTACTAAACCTTACCTACTAGCCAATGACTTTAATGATTGTGCTGAAGGATTGTACAGAAACAGACTTTCAAAAATAAACCAACCCGGAGGATTGTTCACTGAGGTAAAAAATGTGACAAGCCACGGTCTCCCCAATACAATTAGTGTGGTACAATTAACTCTGCTTTGCATGCACATTTGGTGCAGTTCCAATCACTCACTGTAGTCGCTGTTCTCATCTTTGATGCCATCGATGGTTCCATCTGGCTGCATCTGCAGGTAAAAACCCTGCTGGCTGAACAGTCGTGTCACAATGCCTTTCAGCTGCGGCTCTGGAAAATAAACACACAGCCCCAACCCAACCCACATTTTTATCAGAATTCACCCCAACAAATTGCATCTTTTTCCAGCATGAGTACAAATGCTTGTTAAGAAGAAAAACATTATTTTAAATAAGCTCTTGACTTCTTATCCAGTAATGGCAGTGAATGTACTTGTGAATGGCTGTGTTGATAAAGCTCTGCATATTTGCTCTCTGCGACCTCATTAATCACTTTCACTATGGACACCTGGAGTTTAGAAGACCAGCTGTAGCAATAACAGGTGTTTTCTGATGGAGTGGTGACCTGTACAAGCAGGTACAATAAATGTTTAAAGGCAGGCCTGAGAAGTGAGGAGTGAAGAGGGCCACATGGCATGCAGCAAAGTCACACAGCTTTCAATACAGCTCAGAAGAGTTGTGAATGTCCATGATGGTCATAATCAGCTATTCATCAAGGGCCCCATCTATCCACTGCATACCCAATCTCTGACAGGCTGGAAGGGCCATCAATCATATGAACGAGCCTACATCCATTAGGCAGAACATTACTAAATCACATACAGAATCCACACCTCTATAAAAAAAGACTGGCATAGGGGACCTCATAGGAAATAATTCTAACCTGGGGAAAAGGTTTTGAATTTAATACATGGTTAACCTTAGCCATCTTTAAGAATCGGCAAAAACACATCTCTTCCATCTTTATTTGACCATCTAACTCTAGCACTCTCTATTCTTCTATGCTTGTTTTCTTTAAAAAAAACTAACACTTGCTATCTAATCTTTTTGTATTCTATCTGTTTTCTTTTCATTTATTATAAAATTAACAAAAGCAAAAAGACCTCTAACACTAGCTTGCTCTATTCTTTTTCTATTCTATCTGTTTTATTCGTATTTATTATATTATTTTTTTTAAACCCTTGCTACGTGTACTGCGTTAAGCTAACTGAGACTTGTTATAGCACTTGTATATCATTGCTCTTTTGTTGATTTTGATTGCTTCCATTGTCCTCACTTGTAAGTCGCTTTGGATAAAAGCGTCTGCTAAATGACTAAATGTAAATGTAAATGTAAATGTAACATTTCACAATAAGGTGTCATTTGTTAACATTAGTTAATGTATTAAGTAGCATGAACTAACAATGAGCAATACATTTGTTACAGTATTTATTAATCTTTGTTCATGTTAGTTAACATGTTAGTTCACAGTGCATTAACTAATGTTAACAAATACTTTTGATTGTAATAATGTATTAGTACATTTTGAAATTAACATTAAGATCAATAAATGCTGTAGAAGTATTGTTCATGCTTAGTTCATGTTAACTAATCCAGGTAAACTACTGTTAACAAATGACCCTTATTGTAAAGTGTTACCAATACATGTATGTGGGTCAGTGTGTGCTGAATCTCTTGGCAACATGTCCACGTCATATTTCCCCTGATGCAAAAACAAAAACAAAACAAACAAACAAAAAAAGCATAAACAATTGGAGACTGTTGAAGGTCTATTAAGTTTGCCAAATTTTCATTACAAATTCTCATTACTAATGCATCTAGAGTTTAGACACTACGTTTTAATGTAAGTCCGAATATTAGAACTGTAATCAAGTCATTTTTTCCAAAGAATAAAAAATAAATAAAAGAGTACAACAAAAATAATGTCACAATGTAAAAAAAAAAAAAAGCACTAAATTGGGATTAAATGTCTGTGCAAAATAATATTTCTTTTTCCCTTTCACTGGATTTTTGGGGTGAAATATGACTCGGACATGTTCCTCAAATGCTGTAGAAGTATTGTTCATGCTTAGTTCATGTTAACTAATCCAGGTAAACTACTGTTAACAAATGACCCTTATTGTAAAGTGTTACCAATACATGTATGTGGGTCAGTGTGTGCTGAATCTCTTGGCAACATGTCCACGTCATATTTCCCCTGATGCAAAAACAAAAACAAAACAAACAAACAAAAAAAGCATAAACAATTGGAGACTGTTGAAGGTCTATTAAGTTTGCCAAATTTTCATTACAAATTCTCATTACTAATGCATCTAGAGTTTAGACACTACGTTTTAATGTAAGTCCGAATATTAGAACTGTAATCAAGTCATTTTTTCCAAAGAATAAAAAATAAATAAAAGAGTACAACAAAAATAATGTCACAATGTAAAAAAAAAAAAAGCACTAAATTGGGATTAAATGTCTGTGCAAAATAATATTTCTTTTTCCCTTTCACTGGATTTTTGGGGTGAAATATGACTCAGACATGTTCCTCACATGTGAGTTTGTGAGATTAATGTACATGCATGTCTCTACCCATACTGTATAGGAATGTATGCACTCACATGTGGATTTAAGCCTGTGTGCACCTGGATATATGCATGAGATAATGCATGTCATATTTGCATCAACACTGTTTGCATATTTTCCACTTACAAAGTTGAACCATACATGTTCCATATGGCCCCATTCCATAAACAGAAACAGTTACAATCGGATATGTTGGTAAATTATGTCATGATCATGAAATAGTGAATGTAACCTCGACTACTTAAGTCATCACAACTGACAGAAGAAACACAACACATCAGCAGCACAGAGCAAACACGAGCCTCACTGCATGGAAACAAACAGAGGGGACAGAGTACACATAATGATGGGGACAGAAACATAATGTGTAGAGTGTAGAGAGATAAAAAGGGGATCAGAGGGGAGGAAAGAAGGAAAAAAGAAAAAAGGAGGAAGAGACAGAGGAAAAGGCATAAGAAATACTGTACATAAAAATAACACAAAGACGGAGAGATTATGCATGAGATAATGCATGTCATATTTGCATCAACACTGTTTGCATATTTTCCACTTACAAAGTTGAACCATACATGTTCCATATGGCCCCATTCCATAAACAGAAACAGTTACAATCGGATATGTTGGTAAATTATGTCATGATCATGAAATAGTGAATGTAACCTCGACTACTTAAGTCATCACAACTGACAGAAGAAACACAACACATCAGCAGCACAGAGCAAACACGAGCCTCACTGCATGGAAACAAACAGAGGGGACAGAGTACACATAATGATGGGGACAGAAACATAATGTGTAGAGTGTAGAGAGATAAAAAGGGGATCAGATGGGAGGAAAGAAGGAAAAAAGAAAAAAGGAGGAAGAGACAGAGGAAAAGGCATAAGAAATACTGTACATAAAAATAACACAAAGACGGAGAGATAGAACAATAGTCGGAAACATACTACAAGGACAAGGCCGTTAGACAGGAGCTAGTCCCCCATGAGCACGAAATGGGGTGGGTAACTGGAAGACAGCACAAGGATGGAGGCTGAGCTACTGACCTAGCCTGATGCCCTTACGGGACACCTGTGGAGGTTTCGAGGGCACATCTTACGGGGGAGAAGGAAAAACAACATTTTTACAGACAAATCCTTCAGCAACAGCCGTCAAATAACTGATCATATGTTGGGAAGAGGGGATGTGCTTGTTCTACATCATGAGAAGGTGTTTTGAAGGAGGAAGAGAGGACAGCTGTGTAGTTTTTTTTTATCATTTCACACGCTTCGTGCCATTTTATGTGAGCCGAAAAAGGATAGCGTGGTTCAGTGGGCAGTAAGACCATGCCCATCAATAAAACTAAGTAAACAATCTCTCCCCATACTGCAGTAAAATAGTCTCTGATGGAAAATCCATCTTAAGCTGGTAGCTGTGGTTTCTAGCTGGTGTGAGTATTAATTGTTGTAAATACCAGCTTGACCAGCTTAAGGTGGTATGACCAGCTGGTTACTTGTTTGTTCCTGGTTCAAGATTGTTCTGTCATATTACAAAACACAATTTAAATGGGGTCTTCCATCAGGGAAACATTTACCACTAAACATTTCATCTAAGAAAGCCGTGGTGCACTGCAGTGCCACTGGATTCTGACTATTACTAAATTGCATTGTTGCACTATAAACATCTTCTTCTTTTAACAATCACACAGCCTCTGATCAAAATGTCAAAATGCCAGTCACTGAATTAATTGATAACAGCAATAATGATATTAATAAAACATATCAGATATATCAACATAAAACGGCTGTGCAGTCAGATTGTTAGGATGACAAATCGGTTGGTGAATACCGATAGACAGCACGTGAGCTATGAAACAGGTGAGATCTTGGGGGGACGCGGCATTGCAAAAAAAATTAAATAAAAAAATACATTGGAGGATATATGTTCCTTCAGAGGAGCTGTAGACTGCAGCAGAGGCTTCGGTGGGGGCTGATGTCTTAAAAAGCATCCAGCACTGACCTGGTCGCCGGCAAACAGGTCTTTTCTTGCCGCTGCAGAAGCGGACTTTACTGAAGACCCCCAGGAAATGTCGCTCGCAGAGAGAGCGGGGGTCTTTGCTGGGACTGGGGCGGCGTTTGGAGGCAGATACCCGATCGCTGTTGAATTCCCGCGCCTGGCGTTTTTGTCGGATCAGAGAACTGGCGATCGCGGCCATCTCGAGTATTCAGTTAAATGAGCTGTTCAACGTTGCTGTTAACGCAATAACTGGGAATAATAAATAAACAAGACTGGATTGTCTGCGCAAAATTAGCCCGATTTCATTCCGATTCCTAGCGAAAAATCCAGAGGATCCTGTGAATTAGGACTGGAATCCCATCCTCTTCTCAGACGATCTACCCAGACGGCTGAGTTTCACACACGATTACATAAAGCACATTTTCCGTTCTCCATCTTAGAAGCAAAAAATAAAAAATAAAATAAATAATAACAACAATAAAAAAATAAAAATAATAATTAAAAAGACGTCCTATGTGAACATGGGTAACCTGTCACGCAGGTATTCCAGGTGCCGAAGACAACTGACGCGTAATTCGTCTTTCAAGCGACTGCTACATGATCCACATGTCTAGTTCATTCCAGAAAACTTTGCATGAATCCGGATAATAAATGAAGTCCATGACACAAGAAAGCGCGTTCTCAGGCTCTATAGGCGTATATGAGTGACGCCCGCACCACTTCGCGGAACATCTGGGCTCTCCAAATTATTTTACAGCTCTTCGTAGTTCTTCTGGTAGAGTTCATTGCATTGTTATTCACGTCAAAATTTCTTATTTTGTTCAAAACGAGTTGTAATTTAAGGGTCAGGTGTCTAGCACAGCGAGAACACTGCGAATCCTTCCGAAGCTGTTTGAAGGAATGTTGTAAAATCGATACCCTGCCTGTCTCACACTGACAGTGAGCCAGTGAATGGGGTTTGATACTCTCTCTCTCTCTCTCTCTCTCTCTCTCTCTCACACACACACACACACTCACTCCCTCTCTCTCTCTCTCTCTCTCTCTACGCAATCATACGTGATTGTGGTTTGTATGAGATACTCGCAAGGGTAAACGAGAGCGAGCAAGTGAAGGAGATAGAAAAATATATTAATTGGGAGAGAGAGGAGGATTGTCCAACAGATGATCACATCTGGCTCATCCTTTATGTGTGAATTTGGCACATCCCGTAAAGAATCATCTCAATTCAAATTCTGCTGACGTCTCTTCTTCAGCTTTCAGGTTAATTTATCAATTTATATGTCTGTCCATCTGTTTACTACTTGGATTAAAATACACCCTAATGGTACAGATCGCCCTTCTGCTTGTCACTGTAGTATGGTTCAGTGTATTTGGTGCTAATGTGGCACCCCATTATATTAAGGTCTGGCTGTCACAATTCATTAACTGTCCACTCTGCAATTACTTTTTTTATATGAGTATGTCATTTTTACCAATTAACTGTTGCACAAAACTTAATGTCAAAAACTGAAATTAGCAAAAACTAAATTTCCAAACTGCTATCCCATCTGATGGGACTGTATGTTCTAACTTATAATAAAATATATACACATCTAATCAAAAGCTGTTGACTAAGTTGAACTATATTGTAGGTAATACTGTAGAATGCTGCTTTTGCATCAGAACTATTTAACCCATTTAAGTATCACTGATATGGTAACAAGAAAATGAAATGTGTTAAGGTTATAGTGCCGTAGTATTCTAATAACCCATTTAAGTATCACTGATATGGTAACAAGAAAATGAAATGTGTTAAGGTTATAGTGCCGTAGTATTCTAATAACAGGTTTAAACTGCTACAGAGATGTACTGTTCTAATTTAGTAATTAATGCATTAACACAACACCTCCCCTTTAGAGATGCAGGTCTATTTATCAGTGTTATAACACCACAATGCTGCATTTATGTCATGCACTGTGCCTTACTAAAGTGCTAAACTCTTCAGCACTGGGTTTGAGAGGGTATTCATGGTGGGGCAAGAAGAGACGGAAGGGTTGGGGGGTGGGGGGTTTCATGTACTCCTGTGGGGGTTCACACTGGTTTCTGACACTGCAGTGGGTGGATCACGTGGCTCTGACATGAAAAGCCTCTTGCCTAGTGTAAAATAGCAGCATTAAAGAGATTCAGTCTGGAAGTGAGCTGTTTCATCCTTTTCCAAATTTAATGTGGGGCAAATAATTCCCTTCCAGCCATCTCCTGGCATCAACATGAACTTAGTACAATGCCATTTAAGTATAGCTGCACTTCGATGCTCTTCTAGTTAATGGCACTTGGTCTGAATTAACAATCTCCCAAATACTATGGAGAATCTGGTAATGCAATTAGAAGATGGGATAGTTAATACTTTTGTAACATAAACTCTCTGACACAAAAGCAGTTCCTTATTCAATTCTAGAACAATAACGGGTTTCCCCTAAAAACTCAACTATTATTGATTGTCAGCAAGTGTTCAGGGCAGGTTTACTCAACAGACCATGACAATGCACCTATAACCTAGATTCATTAATGATCTGCAAATCTCTACTCAGTGACAATCCCAGCACGCCATTTGCCAAGCAATAACTGCCCCACCCCCAGTGATTTCGGCCATTGCCCCTTAAAATGCCTGTGCACGTCCCTGATAGCAAGTGCCTTTGCTGAAATACAACAAACATTTAATTTCCAGTTGGCAGTATTTCTGTTACATGACAAATGCAGTGATGTTACATTAGCACAAAGCTCAGACCAAAACATCCAGAGGACACTTATATTACAAAAATGTTTTGAGCTTCTTCCAGCTTAACATAGTGAATGGCATTTCAGTTAGTGCTATTCAACATATGTCATATTAGTGCTATTTCAATGAAGTAAACTTGAGATATGAATTCACCATGTTAAAAATATATAAATTCTGAATTACAAATTGAATTAAGGCATACCAGCTACAGAGACTGAACATGAGATATAACTGACCACAACATTGAATAAACAGAGTTAATTAAGAATCACTTATCTAAGTATAGGCAAGTCAAATACAGTCCAATATTCCGAATCCAAGAACGTATTAAAACATCTTTCAAATAAACATTGCCACCTAGTGTTTACAGTATGGAAATGCACAAAGGCCCCTCTCATCAACCTATCAGCTTTTTTTTTGTGATGAGTGTGTTGCATTGCGCACTTCTATTAGCTGAACCAGCACTATGCGTTTACATTATCAAATAATTTTATTGCTAATGTTTTTATGCCCACTGCATAACATGTAAACATCAACGCAATGATCCAAAGGGCAAGCACTTTACTATGCTCAAATGTTTAAACAGCATGAATCAAGTAGGCCTATATACTTGTATTTCATGTTCTCAATAATGTCCTATGCACAAATTCCATCATTTCCAAGATATGGTACACTTATTTTGAAATGACACTTCAGCAAATTCAACAGAGGAGTGACAATCATTACATATGACATAGATATGGTGATTTGTGCATGATGTTTCCTGAACATGCTCCTCAGAATACGTGTCCTGGTTTCAAAACCCAATTTAGTCATGGGGCCATATGCAATCAAAACCTGAGGAGTGAAGCACCCCTGTGATAGAGCACAAAGTGTTTCATCAGTACATTTTGCTTATGACAGTAGAAGTAGAAGGTGAACCATGAATATATAGCATGTCTCACAGTAGCCATCAATTAAACACAATGGCAGTTTTCTGTGTTGCAGGATTCAAGCAAAAGCAGCGCAGTAAGAGATGGCTGGAAACTGTACAAAGAAAATTTAATATACAGTGCAGTCCAGAGGTAGACAAAACCATGCCATATCTCAGATAAAAAATCAAGAATTTAAACCTGAAAGCTTGATTTGGAAAAATGTAAAACAAAACATATTATGTACAATGTTGAATAAATATTGCTTCTGCACTCTTCTTTCCTACGTCACACAGATGTTCTGGTTTTCAAAGAAGCACATATTTTAAAATCATGCTAGCATAACATGATCACCAGGTTTTGTACAAACATTGATTAATATGAATAAAAATAATAATAATAAACGGCACTCTGTTACATTTTAAAAAATGCAAAAAAGGAGCACTGTCACTCATTATCTGAGACTTTGGGAACTTAAAAGACAAACTTTCAGGGGCTAATTAGCATTTCATATGCTTAGCATTTTGAAATAATGCATCTAATTAATGTACAATACCTAAACAAATTAGACCATAAATGTATATTCAATTTAACTAGATCTGTCAAAGATGTGGTTAGTTATGATATAGGCCTTTTTTCCATTCTGTTCTGTGTGATTATTAAGGACAACAGTCCAGTAAAAGGCAGTGATCTATACACTTTTTTACAGGACAAGGGCCCCTCATTGGACAGAATGATGGAGAAGAGACCTGATGTAACATATTACAACATGTATAGTACACCAAAATACATTGCAAAGAAGAAAAAAAAACAAGCTTACAGAATCGCATTCTTGCACATTATGCTTTTAATCATCATTTTATCTAAAACATTTTAATGTGGGAGGTACAAGAAAACATTTAGTTTAACTTCAATAAAATGACCGTAGTTTGATTGAAATTAATATAATATTGCATTTTAAACAAATATTTATTTTTTAACAATAAATTATTTCTTGTGAGGACAATAGCTACATTATTTTATTATAATGCATATTTGCACTGAGTTCAATGTTTCTGTTTCATGTGCTCTTTGATACACAATACATTCAAAGCAGTAAAAAATAATTGCATAAGAGATTGTATGCGTTGCAGCATGGTTGAATAGAACTGATCTTCTGTGCACAATTAAGTTGCCTGCAAAATAATGGATAAAAAGAAAAGGTGTATAGGTCAGCAGAGGCTTAATGAAGGTGAAGCCTAATGAAGTGAAGGATTACACAGCAGCAGCATAACAGTTAGGCACACTCTCTGTTACTGCATGCATTCGTAAATGTTGCATATGTGTGGAAATAATGTTTAATTAAACATTATTTAATTTTATTTATTATTTACAGGCAGTCCAACTAGTCCTCGTTTATTAATGCAATTATATATATATATATATATATATATAATAAGGAGAATCTGTAGAAAAATGTGGCATAATCCTCAAAGTGAAACTTGAAATTAAAATCATTTACTCACTCTAAGGTTGTTGCAATTTTATTTATTTATTTATTTTTCTATGAAATACAATGGGAGATGTTGGGCAAGATGACAGCCTCGAAGAAAGGAAGAAAGGTTTGTAATAAATTGGAATTCTTTCTTTCTTTCTTTCTTTGTGAATTAGCCATTTAAGATGCTTCCGAACAAGAGTGTGGATGCCTTTAAAGATCTTGAGTTGTGTAAATACTATAATTGTCAGGTTAGTATAGTAGGCTATATGTCTTCTATGCTAGTATAGTATAGAATATATCTTCTGAATAGTAAATATTTTCTGAATGCACAAATGCACTTA